GTTGGAGCATTTAATCCATTCACATTTAAGGTAATTATCGATATGTATGTTCCTGTTACCATTTGCTTAATTGTTTTGGGTTTGGTTTTGTAGGTCCTTTTCTTCTTTTGTGTTTGCCACTTAGAGAAGTTCCTGTAGCATTTGTTGTAGAGTTGGTTTGGTGGTGCTGAATTCTCTTAGCTTTTGCTTGTCTGTAAAGCTTTTGATTTCCCATCGAATCTGAATGAGATCCTTGTCGGGTAGAGTAATCTTGGTTTTAGGTTTTTCCCTTTCATCACTTTAAGTATATCCTGCCACTCCCTTCTGGCTTGTAGAGTTTCTGCTGAGAAATCAGCTGTTCACCTTATGGGAGTTCCCTTGTATGTTATTTGTCTATTTTCCCTTGCTGCTTTCAATAATTTTTCTTTGTCTTTAATTTTTGCCAATTTGATTACTATGTGTCTCCATGTGTTTCTCCTTGGGTTTATCCTGTATGGGACGCTGTGCACTTCCTGCACTTGCGTGGCTATTTCCTTTCCTATGTTAGGGAAATTTTCGACTATAATATCTTCAAATATTTTCTTGGGTCCTTTCTCTCTCTCTTCTTCTGGGACCCCTATAATGCGAATGTTGTTGCCTTTTAATGTTGTCCCAGAGGTCTCTTAGGCTGTCTTCATATCTTTTCATTCTTTTTTCTTTTTTCTGTTCTACAGCAGTGAATTCCACCATTCTGTCGTCCAGGTTACTTATCCATTCTTCTGCCTCAGTTATTCTGCTATTGATTCCTTCTAGTGTTTTTTTCATTTCAGTTATTGTATTGTTTATTTCTGTTTGTTTGTTCTTTAATTCTTCTAGGTCTTTGTTAAACATTTCTTGCATCTTCTCAATCTTTGCCTCCATTCTTTTTCCAAGGTCCTGGATCATCTTCACTGTCATTATTCTGAATTCTTTTTCTGGAAGGTTGCCTGTCTCTACTGCATTTAGTTGTTTTTCTGGGGTTTTATCTTGTTCTTTCATCTGGTACATAGCTCTCTGCCTTTTCATCTTGTCTATCCTTCTGTGAATGTGATATTTGTTCCACAGGCTGCAGGATTATAGTTCTTCTTGCTTCTGCTGTCTGCTCTCTGGTGGATGAGGCTACCTAAAAGGCTTGTGCAAGTGTCCTGATGGGAGGGACTGGTGGTGGGTAGAGGTGGGTGTTGCTCTGGTGGGCAGAGCTCAGTAAAACTTTAATATGCTTGTCTGCTGACGGGTGGGGCTGGGTTCCCTCCCTGTTGGTTGTTTGGCCTGAATCAACCCAACACTGGAGCCTACCTGGGCTCTTTGGTGGGGCTAATGGCAGACTCTGGGAGGGCTCATGCCAAGGAGTACTTCCTAGAACTTCCACTGCCAGTGTTCCTGTCCTCACGGTGAGACAGAGCCACATGCCGCCTCTGCAGGAGACCCTCCAACACCAGCAGGTAGGTCTGGTTCAGTCACATATGGGGTCACTGCTCCTCCTGGGTCCCGATGCACACACTACTTTGTGTGTGCCCTCCAAGAGTGGAGTCTCTGTTTTCTCCCAGTTCTGTCGAAGTCCTGCAATCAAATCCTGCTAGCCTTCAAAGTCTGATTCTTTAGGAATTCCTGCATGGGCAGAAGACAAGTCATTTTTCTTGGAGGACTTATTCAGCCCATGTAGGTGACAAGTGCTTGTTCCATAGCTGCAGTGCTAGTGGTACCAGTGACATAGGTGGTGGCAGAAGGTTCTTGTTACTCTTTGGTAAGGAGAAAGAATGGGGGTGGGGTGGGGTATGAAGGGGAAACAGCTCTTATATTCCTTTAGCTGGTTCACTGTCATCTGAAGCATGTTACTTCTTGCTGTCCACTAGCTCACATTAAAGATATGGATAAAAACCCTTAGAAATCAGAGAGAGACTACACTGCGCCTGTTTAAAATATCCCCTTATCATATACTATGAACTAAAGTATATGGGATTTGGTTAACACATACTGTAATACTCAGGTATTTGTCCCAAACCTTCTGGAGTGAGGTTGATCTTGCTACTTCATTCCCTCGAATCAAGTCTGGTGACTTAGGTAGTCCTCAGTTCCAAGGCTCTCAGAGGTGTTGTGATATTATTAAAAATATACCTGATCTTTGTCTCTGGTTCCTGGTAGAGAGTTTCGAAAACCTTAGAATTTCCTGAGTGATAGAAAGAAGTCTCTAATGAGGTATTAATGGTGGGACTCTTAGGTAGCTTCAGAATGGGACTGGTCACCAAAAAGACCAAGCACATGATTAGGGGATTGGGACTTTAGCTGTCCAAACTCCTGGGAGGGGAAGGAGGCTGGATATTGAGTTCAATCACATGGTCAGTGGTTTAGTCCACTGACCATGCCTACATAATGAGACTCCCCCCCAAACTCTGGACACCAAAGCTCAGTGTAGCTTCCTGATTAGTAGCACAATGATGAGGGTGACATGCCCTGGCCTCCCAGAGAGAGGGCATGAAAGCTTTGTGCTCCTTTCTAGACCATGCCCTATGGGTATCCTTTAAAATGAAACTGTAGTAGTTAAGTATAGCATTTTCCTGGGTTCTCTGAGTTGTTTTAGAGAATTATTGAACCTGAGAGGGGTCATGGGAACCCCTGAATTTGCAGCCAGTTGGTCAGAAGTGTGGGTAGCCTGGGGACCTCACTTTTGCCTGATGTCTGTAAAGGCAGTCTTGTGGAACAGTGAGCCCTACACCTGTGGGATCTGATGCTGAATCTGGGTGGTTAGCATCAAATTGTATTGAAGTACACCTAGTTTGGGGTGAAACAAAACAGGTAGCTCATGAAAATATTTCTTCTTTTCTAACTTTCTTTCCTCACTTCTGGCTGCATATAACTCCCTCTACATAAGCCACCCCCTACCCTCCCCGTGCACACTTCCAGGATTTGCTATTTCTTCCCATAGAATAAACAAACTCCAGTCTTCTTCTTTTCTTGTGTCTAAGAAATGTTAAGGTGTTGGCTATCACAGTAAAGTTTAGTGTGGCTTCTTCCACACAGCTCTACAGAGAGAACTTGGCTTAAAAGAGACAACTTTGATCTCAGCAAGTGGAATGGCTCCACAAGAGGCTGGTGTGGGGTAGGCAAAGCAGTGGTTGGGATAGGGTAAACTGTGGTTCTATGCATAAAAGAGGGATTTTTACAGTCTGGTTAATTTTGTCCTCAACTATTTGAAGTCAAACATGCCTTACCACCACAAGGATGATTTCTTATCCCTCCAAATAAGAAATTTATATTTCTTCTAACTTTGGCCTTATTATGTCAGGGGAGAATTTTTCCTCTCCCTGCCTGCTATGGACTGAAAGTTTGTCCCCACCCCACCCCCCCAAATTAATATGTTGAAACCCTCATCCCTAATGTGATGGTATTTGGAGACGGAGCCTTTGAGAGCTAATTAGGTCATAAGGGTGGAGTCCTCATGATGGGATTAGTGCGCTTATAAGAAGAGAGAGGGGATAGCTTGCTTCCTCTCTCTTTGCTTTCTGCCATGTGAGGATACAATGAGAATGCATCAGTCCACAAACCAGAAAGTGGGCTCTCATCAGACATCAGATCTGCTGGCACTTTGATCTTGGACTTCCAGCCTCCAGAACTGTGAGAAATAAATATTTGCTGTCAAAGCCACCCAGTCTATGGTATATTTGTTATAATGGTAGCGTGAACTGACAAAGACACTGCACTTAACAGTATTTGCACCTGAAATAACAGAAAATAATGGTGTCAAGCCCAAATATCTTTTCCTTTAATATCAATTTCTACTCACTAGGGATTTAGTGTTTGTGGTAGAAGTTTTGATCCATTTATTCATGAAGACATAATAGAATTAAAATTAGGCCAACCCAGTTACAGAAATACCAAAGCTATAGGTGATTCAATCCTCTTTCTTAAAAAACAAGTTTATCTGTTTCAAAATTTTATTTAGAAAATTTACTTTATTTAAAATGTGTAAATAATATGTCACATGATATGAAATTCTAGACATAGTAGATTTAAAAATAGCATAATGGAAAATATAAATATCCATTTTATTTTCCTATGTATATCTTTTGTGCATTTATTTTCTTTTCCTAGGTTTGTATTTTTCTTTATTTTCCAATCTGATCCATACTTACAGTAAAAACATTTTAAATATCATAGACAGGTATAAGACAAAAAGTAAAAATTCCCTTCTCTCCATTTTCCTCAGATATTGGTGAATATCCTTCTAAACTTTCAATCACATGGATATATTTTTTTACATAAATGTTTTCACATTATATGTGTTGTTCTGTAACTTGCTTTTTACACTGAACACTGTCATGGAAATCTTTCATGATTGATAGTGCATTTAGAGCTAGTTCATTACTTTTAATGGTTGTACTGTATTCCTTGATGTATAGCTATATATTTAGCTAGCTCCCTCATGATGGCTATTTAAGGTGTTTCCAACATTTTATTAATAAAAACAAAATATTGATAGCTTATTTTGACAAATGTAGTTATTATATTAACTTACATATCGTCACACCCCTCTCCTCCTTAGGATCTGGTCACTGTACAGCTTGCCCTTTATTTTATACTTGTGCACTTGTGCTTTTGAACAACTGGTGGGTATTAGTGTTTTCCATGGATACTTGGCTTTGATTACACTGTTACTAAATGTGCTTTTGCTTTTGTCTAGTTAAAAAAATTCTGTGTCCCTAGTAATGTTCAGTAAAGAATAGATATGACTATTTTAAAGTGGTTACATTGTCTTCCAGGTTAAGTAAATATTTCAATTAGGAGAGTAAATATTTTTAAATTGGAGTGTGGATATTTCTTGCTTTGGGAGTGTGTTCTTAATGAATTGAATCTCATATTGGTGGTATTACAAGGAACGTGTAATGAATTTCTGGGTCTTAAGACTTCACCCTGTCCTAAAAGGCAAAGGAAATTTCCAAAGTTTTTATCTTAGCAATACAGCACAGTGAAATAGAGGAGGGGTGCAGTAAAGAATGGATGCTTGCTTTTGTCATTAGTTTATTAGTGAATCCCAAGATACCAGGCTTCCTGCAGCTTGTTTCAGAGGTTTTTCAAGTATCCCTTTTAAAGATTAAAAAGCATTAAAGATCCCTATCAGACTACAGTTATCATTTATCTATTCAATATATAGATAATGAAGATACCGATAGGATGCTGTCATCTACTTTAATAACTGTGTTGTCCTTGATGGGTGTCCAACTCAGATAGACTGGGAATTAACTAGCTTAAGGCACTACCTCTCCTTAATTTTGTCTCAGCCCTTGGTAAAACTTAGTTAAAAAGATATGAATGAGCTTTAAAATAACTTCCCTTCATAGTCTCCAAGCTACCTTTAATAACAGAGTCATTCTCATCTTCCTTCATTATTCATATCAGACCTTCCAAGAGGAAACCTGCTATTACTGAATGCCAAAAGCAGCTTGTAGGAGGAGAAGTTATGCAGTGAGGGGGTAAAAAAAGCCCTGCAAAAATATTTTTTCTTCATCATTGGAAAGGGAAGAGGGAAAGTGAACAAGGGATAGAAACAAACCAATAAATACAATGTAAACAGTTTCATACAGAGTTATTTATATTTTGGCAATCCTCTCTATCTACTATGATCCCCAAGTTTTCTTTTCAGAGAAACTATGATGCTGATAATAGCAGTGTTTACTCAAAAGATATTAATATCCTAAGATATTTGGTAGTACTTGCTCTAATATTGCTCTATCCATCCACATTATATGAAGCCACCAAGAGAAGCAGTCCCCTGCATACAGTCTTCCAGGCTGTCTTCACAGTCTTCACAGCTTAGATTCCATCTGAATGCTGCCATGAAAGATGTTGCCGGCATATACAGGAGTGTGAATATGGGCTGACTTAAAGCTCTTCTCTTAAAGGCCTTTTCCTGTGGCACTGGCAGATAGATGCAGTGTCATCCGGCTGAGGAACAAGTTCCATTCCATCACGTATTTTGGGTTTGCTGGTCTGGCGCTCAGCGTATTTCTGGAATGTGTTTGAAGGCAATGGAAAGATTAGTCCAAACTTCATTCCACTGAATCCTCCCCGTTCCCCTCATGCTATTGTTTCTAGTGGCTATGTATCTTCAGACTAAAACCAAAGGTCTGGTTTATCTCAGTCCTAAAGTTACCTTTTAACTTTAGTTATTACAGGCACTAGTGCCTGTAAGGAGCCCCATCCACTATTTTATGTATAGGAAAGAAGCCTCTTGTAACGGGATGTCCCTACTTGAAATACAGCACCTCTCGAATTCATCCTCCATGTGTTAATGAATAATTAACTTTGCTGAATATTCAAATCAGTGAACAAAGATGATAAGCATCTCACAATAAAGTTGGTGGTTTCACACATCCTTCCCTTTAGGCCTGTAGTCACACACACTTTGTAAATGGCGACAGGCCTGTGAAATGTCTCTCCTTTTTGGCCACTGACTGAAATATTCCTATACCTTGGATTTTTCAGTTCAGTGGTTCCATGTACATTTAGCTGTACATTCCTAGTCCTGGGTCAAATCCAACAAAATACTGACATGTGTACATGAACCTAATTAATATTTCAGAGGGAGAAACTCCTATCATTAAAGTTACAGCCAGACTAGCAGAGGGAAAAGAACTCATTTAAGGAAAAGGCTGCTTCTAATAAATGGAGTAATTAATCATTTTAATTTTTCTGTGAGAGGGTAGTAGCCTCAGGCATCTGAGGAAATTTATTTTTTTTCTGCCTCACAGAAAAATAAGTTTAGGTTAACAACAAAAACATAATTTCTTATTTTCCTCTTCTGGCTAAATTTTACTGAGTAAAACACAAGTTAATTATACAAAGAACCAATCCTTGAATTGTTGGAAGTACAGTAAATATCTGTACTTCAGAATTCAGCCCTAAGGTTTTAGATTATAAATAAAGCTGACCCTTAAACAATGTCGGGGTTAGGAGTACTGACCCTTGGCACAGCTGAAAATCTGTGTATAACTTATAGCTGGCCCTCCATATATGTGATGCCTCAGTATGCGTGGTTCCATGTCCATGGGTTCAACCAACCTTGGATTGTGTAGTACTGTAGTATTTACTACTAAAAAAAATCCACATGTAAGTGGACCTGCACAGTTCAAAACCATGTTGTTCAAGGGTCAACTGTATTTTTCATTTGTTTGTTTTATACAACAAATTAAATATTTGTTTTCCATCCTGTACTGATAGCAAAAGCGTGGCTCTTAAGCAGTAAGGAGAACAAAGAGGTAGATATTTTGAGCAGAAAGAGATGTTAATGATCTCTAGTCCAACCCTCCTATTTTCCATATGAGGAAAGATTTTCTCTGAGGTTCAGAGATTTTAATCTATATTTGTAATGGCGCTAAGCATTGTTTTTCATAATACTGAATGGAGATAAAAATATGGAGGCCACAAAGGGACTTAGCACTATCTTTCTATAGGCTGGCGCCTCAGCATAGCCAGAGTTCCACAGGCAGACTGACTCTTGAACACCTCCAGGAAGCAAGCATTCAGGCCATGCATTTGGTCTGAGGACACTCAACCAAGCAGATGGATCCTCTGAACTGACCTGTAGTACTCTGTAATAGTAGCAGTAAAGCCTGTGGGGCTGTAGCAGATCTCTAGCAGTCAACTGCCCTTCTTTTGCAATCTTCTTGGCTTCTTCATCATTTTCCTGAAAAGTTTAAAAAGAAACAATGAATGAAGATTACTCCTGTGACTCACAAAGAAAGCTAATTGTGAATATGAGGTAGGACAGATGTAGGGTTGAATGTGAACAGCATGGGAGAGATGAAACATAAAAATATAACTTAAGGGTTTCCCTGGTGGCGCCATGGTTGAGAGTCCTCCTGCCGATGCAGGGGACACGGGTTCGTGCCCCGGTCCGGGAAGATCCCACATGCCGTGGAGCGGCTGGGCCCGTGAGCCATGGCCGCTGAGCCTGCGCGTTTGGAACCTGTGCTACGCAACGGGAGAGGCCACAACAGTGAGAGGCCCGCGTATC